ATATATTGCACTTCAATAAACACCGGAAAGATCAACAGATGAACTCTGAGGTGGATATTGGAGCGGGGAGCGGAGCACGTATGACAATGCCCGAAGTGCTAGGATGTTGTTTCCAGGATCAAGTAATCAAGCACTTAATGATCTTGCACCGAAAGACTTGGGCATGCAGCATTATTACCGTACTGATATTTGAAGATTAATTTTTAAGACTACTGTGCTACTTTATAAGTACCCCTCCCAACATATATATCTGATTTCACGCTAGAAAAGTCCATGATTTCCAAAAAAATCCTACTTAATTTGTAAAAAATCATTGTAATGTTGGTGTACATGCCAGTGACAGAAGCTCAGGGATCTGCTAGCCATGGTGTCACAATTTGTTAATGAACTTGAGTAACACTCTGAAATTTGAAGTTGGTATAAAAAATAGAGTGATAACATTTGTGAGGCATCGTGGTGAAATCAGGCGCTCGTCAAAATAATTAAATCAAAAATATCTGCATTTTTCAGCCAAACTGGCAATTTTTATCAAATTTTTCGGTTCAACACTTTTTATGTCCATTGAAAAACATCTTTCTGGGAGGATTTTATTGAAAAACGAATGAAGATACCAAAAAATGTAAATTTTCAGTTTCCAAGGACTCTTAAGCAATGAAAATCACAAAATTTTGACTATTATTTTCTCCCTAACTTTACCTCTGAAACCAGGCAAATCCACCTTGTTCAATAGCAAATATTTCGACTTCTATTCAAGAAAGAGATTGGTTTTGATTTTTTTTTTTTTTCATCAGAAGATAAAACAAAAGAACACATTTTAAGATGATAACAATAACTCCACCTGCCCAAAAATTGACAAGTGCCTGATTTCATTGCGTCATAACATATTTTTATCCTCCGTTACGGAAAATTTCCTCAGTGAGCCCACAGGGGAACCACATGTTCTGCTTGTAAAATGATCTGAAATATGTCTAGAAGAGCATTCAACTTCCCCACCAGATCGCATCTATGCTCCTGAAAACTCACTTGCCATGTATATTGATGTTTTCAGTCATTTACACTACATATGTATAAATATATGTATGTGTGTATACTGTATGTGGATTTTAGATTTGAATGGTGTACACTGATATAATTAGAACAACATGTTCTACACGAATATATTGCACAGTATTTATTTATTTCTAAAAACCATCATAAAGTTTTTTTCATCCAAATCACTGAGTTTGGGTCCATTCTTATCACAGTCTTGTCATATGTCTTTGTCTTGAGAGAAGGAGGGACTGAGGGTGGTGCCGGTGGTGGTGGTGGTGGTGGAGGAGGAGGTGGTAGCTGTGGTGGTGCTGGTACGTCAGAGGATGTGGGCTCTGTTCTACTTTCAGCATCCGATCCAATGGAAATATTTTGTATTTTTTCACTGAGATCACAGGAGGCGTGTTGCTTGTTGTTGTTGACATTATTCAGGCCGCCTTGACTGTTGGATGATGATGCCATGAACTGTCGGAGCTGAAATAGAAATTATGCACATGGCACTTTGAAGTTTGAGTGACTGATCAAATAGCAGTAAAAATGGTGAAGTTCTTTTGAGGCTGGCAGAGACACACAGAGGAAGACACATCTTATTCAGGTCTCCACAGTGAGGAGAAAAAGAACTTGAATCTGAATTTCCAATGAGGAGAAAAAGAACTTGAATCTGAATTGCCTTCTGAACAGATCATTGGATTGTTGCAAGTAAGTAGTTTCTCTCACATCCCCTGCCGCTACCACCTGCAGACTCCAACGATCAGTTAGAGAAAAGATGTAAAAAAAGGTGGGGTTTTTTCATGAGCAAATGACTGGGCTTCAGTTCCCCTATAAAATTTAAGTTCAAAGTAGTTGGCTGTCAGTCAGATATGAATTTCAGTCCTCTTAAATTTGGAAGACTCATTTGTCCAGATCAGAGATGCAGAGTACCTTTCATGTTTAAGTTTAAGTAATGGTAATAATAAATAGTATTTGTATAGTGCATACCCCCACTCAACAGCAAGCTGTAAGCGCTTTATGCTATATTACTATCCCAGCAGACCATAGAATACTCAGAAACATTTTCAGTTCTCAGCTTCCTGGAAAGCATACAGTACCATGTTTCATTCCAGTTTTAGGCAGGCACAATCAAAAGACAGTTTTTTTTCCTCAGGTTTCTATTAATTTCTAACACATCTCATTTTTAGATGGGAGAGCATACAGTATCTAGGCCCATCTTGTATGGAAAAACATATTTGATGGTCAAAGGATCACACTGTACCTTTAAAAGCCACCTTAGCACTTGAAAGTTGGTGATAAAAGACCATCCCAAGAAAAAAAACTAAAAGTTCTTGTCAATGTGAGGACAGCATAGGGCTGCCTGAAAGGTTAAACTAAAAACAATCTTGTTGGAAAATTTGACATACAATAAACTTCATATATATAGCCAACAAATTTTAATCAGGTCTGATGTTCAAATTTGTAGAGTCTGAGGTTTCAGTGAATGCAAAGTAAACCGGTAACAAACATGAACATCTGACATCGATTATCTTAAGCCGGTTGCAATGCTCTGTTCATGGCAGATATCGGCTTTGTTTTAGAGTCCCTTTAAGACTTCCATAATATAGAAATTAACTTTCATGTTCAAGAATAAAAAGAGAAAAACTACTTTTGTACATAACAACTAGTACTAGTGTAAATGCTGAGCAATTCATATTAGTACATGTATTGCAAATTTGAGTCAGGCTTTACAACCACCCTGTATATACCTCAAGCGCAGATTAGTATACAGTGGAGTCCACTTATGACGAGTCCGGAAAAAACGAGAAGTCTGTTATAAAGACACTATTCTAAAACCCCATTTTTTTGTCTTCTTTACCTTTGTAAATAAAATACTGCTATAGCGCAATCAGACAAACACGCATGTTGGTTATAGCGAAATATTGCTGCTGTAGTGCACAGTGCATAGGTCAATTTGCATAATGTAAAACCTCGCCAGTTAAGAAACTTGTTGGTGAACTACTGAAACAAAGAATGGGAGAGCCGATGTGTGTCAACGGTGAAGGCCGAAGGCGAATGAGTAGGGAGGGTGTGGCATGCACACACAAGCAGAACGTATCGCGTGATAGGCCAGCGTAAACCTAGTTTAGATTATCAAAGCCTACCAAGCCTCTCACTTCTCCGATGCGGGGATGGAGAGGTCACAGCAATGTGATGGATGGAGTGAATGTGTGACGTGCACAAGCTGACGGAATGCACCACAGGGTGTGGTGGGGTGGGGGGAAACACAGCGGGTGAGTTAGCCCAGAGCCCTTTCTTTCTGATCACCAACGCTGAGCTGTCAGTCAACATCGCTAGATCTAGCTCTAGAAAAAGAAACCTGATTCGATTTTTGATCAAGTAAGACCTAGAAGTCATGTTGAAACAAAATCATCATCAGGGGAGATAGCAAAAGGAAATAAACAGAACACCAAACCATAAATATTGCCTACTTTACAGTTTCCCTTGAATTTATTTCTGGATCCCTTGTAGCGAGAATCCTGCTATAACGGACATTTTGCTCTGGTCCCCTCCCTCTCGTTATAACAGGATTCCACTGTAGTGGCACACTCACCATCGACTCAGGTACCCTGTGTGCATTGGCCCCTAGGCTGAGCACTGGCTGACATCCAACATAGCCCAGACGTGCATAGAAGCCCTCTTTATCGAGCGTGTTCAAGTACAAAGTTTGTAACCCAAGGCTAAGGAAATAAAAATTAAAAACAAATAAATTTGTAAATGAACACTGTTAGAATGCAATTTAACTTATAAGGCTAGACCCTGATTATTTGAGTACGTCAATTTGAATAGTTCAGCATATAGTAAGGTCACAGTACATTTAATATTATATGCCTTCATTTGAGGTTTACTTATGTGTGTCCATATCTAATATAGAACTTCTTTTTTTTTAAAATGAATAAATAAATTCTTCCTGTGTAAATAGAGTACAGTAGTCTCCGCCTAAACGCACGCCATACAAAAGAACGCTCCGCTTAAACGCACGCTTTCGTCATCTGACGGGTTTTTTTACTATATAATTTAGACATACAAACGCACGGTCACTCCCTCTAAACACATGCTCCGATCCGCGAAATACGCCGACAAGTTAAGCTTGGCAAGGGGAAATTTTCACGACAACCTGCACAGCCTGCATAAGACAAGCCTAGAATTTACTAGAAAACCGGATGTTTGGTGAGAGTGCCCCTCACGCCGTACAAAGAGAGTGACGGACAGCGTTTACACACCCTACTTTCCACTGACGCATAGGTCTCGGTCTCGGGCTGGTCGGTTAAATGTTGAGGAGGGGGGGGGGGGGGGGAGGACTGAAATGTTTTTTGATTGGTCACTGGAAATGTATCTTTGAGAGAAGGTTTCTGACTGGTATTTGAGTTTGAGTGACTGCGTGTAATGTTTAGTTAGATCTAGGCCTGATGCGCGAAATGAGTAATGTCGTAAAACACTAGACAGGCCTCTATAGGATTTAAAAAGATTAGCCAAGTAAGCCTAATAAGCTGCACTCGAAGAACTTATAACGTACGTGTTCAACGAATCGCAAGACAAATGTTTCTCGAGGATGATTCTGCATGAATTTACGGTCGGGGGCGGTCGCTTGGAAAGCCACGTGGCTGGTCCGTCGTTTCTCTGACTATGACCAACAGTTTCCTCATAGGCTATCTGTTCCCGACGTTTATACATCTAGTGCATATTCCTTACTTTGAGTTTGTCCTCCCCCCCCCATTCAACGCCTTTGTATTCTTAACCCCTGTCGGGGAATCCTTCACAAAACAGTCACGTGTCGTCACATTATCTGCCAAAAAGACCCCCTCCTCCAAGGGAAATCACTAGAGCAATAAGGAATAGAGATGAGTGCGTCCCTTCCTCCCCTTGCAAAGATTCATGTAAACGCACGCTCCGTGTAAACACACGCTCAGGAGCCCTCCCGAGCACCGTGCGTTTAGACGGAGACTACTGTATTTGTAAAAGTCCACTTTAAACAATAAAATCTGTAGAAGTTTCTACAAACCACTTTGCATGCTCTTCAGTCAGATCCATTAAAGTCCGCCCAAATCCTTTCCCTCGATCTTCTTCTCGGACAATTACTGCAAAATAAAAAAGAAACGGATATGAAGATTAAAAACTAAGTATTGACACTTATATTGTTAGACAATAAAATCAAATGCATTGAATTTCTACATTTTATACATCATGTACCCATATAAGCAGACAAGAGAAAACAGGATTCTCTTAAGTCAGCAATATTCATGGATTCATAAGAATAAAAAACATCCTAGCCACAGTCTGGGTGTTGATGTGAAAAGTAGCCTACATAAGTACCACAAATTATGGACAGTAATCATTTCAGAAGAAAAGAATAAAACTGTCGGTTAACTCACTTTAGAGGGTTCCCGCAACAGTTGCGGGACCCCCGCCACGCCACTCGCGACGGTTCCCGTAGGCCCTGCTTGATCAACTTTGGAATATATTTTTTTTGCTATACAAATCACGCATACGTCGCGTTACCCGTCTCGTGCTCTTGTTTGGCCAGTCCTGAGCTACTTAGACTTAGTTTCATATATCTGGGGCCCATAGTTTTTAAGTAATTGAAGGTGAAGGACAGTCACCCCAACTGGGGTTGAACTGACCGGAACTCACGCTATGTTTTTTTCTATAGAGCTGATAGTAATTTGACAGTCGCGTCAAAGTAACGGTCGAAGAAGTAGCATATGAATAAGAATCACATAATTTCACAGTTTTCAATACTCCTGTTCGTTTTACTAGTTCTAGTGACTCAGAATATGATAGTTAGGACCCTGGATATCCGAACACGGCCCGAGTCGTAGTTTTAGGGCTAGATCTGGCACTTGTACTGGTAGTGGTAGTGTCTTCACGCAACGAAATCACAACTTCGTGCCCTACATCTGTCACATATAATTCAGTGTATGGGTCTGAATCAACGCACAGCCCTGCTTTAATATTTTCACCAAACACTCACACATGCATGCAAATCAAAATAGAACACATTTTTGTTGTTGTTGTTGTGAATTTCATTCTATCCGTCACATCTCCGGAAATTTTTCGGAAAATCAAATTCATGCCAGATTTTTAAAAATCATACAAATTAAAGTATTAGACTTAAACAACTTTAGTTTTTTTGTATTAGATTAAGCTTGAATGTAACTTTACTGTGTCCAAAAATAATTACAACAGGGTAATTCTGAGAGCTGTGGTGGTGTTTTGAAATTCTCCCAAAAACGCCAGTTATCAGCGCTTGTGACTGGTGAAAGGGCCCAGTAGTCAGTGAGTTAAGGTAGATAACTGGATTCAAGTGAGTAGTCTAGCAAGCACAGAGCAAAATTAGTGGGACACGAATGACTTTCCATTGTGTTGGACTTTTGCTATGTAGATTTATGTGGGGGGGGGGTTTTTAAACAACCAATATTATACATGTATTTTTTAAAATACAGGACCTGAAAATCTGTTCCCTATGTGCGTTTTTGGCTACATGTGTGTTTGCTATGTGCTTATCAGACTGAATTTATCACGTGTGCAAACCTGATTCAATCAGACCAGCCTGCTGGATCCCCTGGACAGCAGAGATCTTACTGAACCCCATCACCTCTGGCAGCTTGCCCTCTGTACTACGCCTCACAAAGGCCAAGCAGATAGGAAGCTCATCACAAGACTTGCTCAAACTGTGATTTCTGTGTGTAGACAAAAACATAGAAATGCAAGTAAACTGGTAGCATGCAAGATTGCTTTGTGACCATTTTCATATTAAAAAATATATTGCATACAATAAAACCCTGCCCAGATAACATAAAAACCTCTTGGCACCAGACAATTTATTTCCCATTGAGCAGGTTTCAGGATTTAACTTAACACTTTGCTGCCTCATCTCGCTGATAGGCGATGTTTACCACCCAGTTTCTTTGGATTTTCCCCATATGATGGCAAAGTGTTAAGGGCAGTTACAATGCAAAGAAAAAAGAGGGGG